TGAGGGTCCTCTGTGTATGTATGTGTGTGCACACGTGTGCATGCATGTGTGGGTACATGAGACTTCTCTAGGTATGTGGTGTTTATCCACTAGTCATATCAAAGAATGTTGGCCTGCCAGCCATGTTTCCAATAAAATAAGATGAAGATAACTCTGTAGAACAAATCTGTTATAAAGCAAAAATATTAATCCTCAAATGGCTTCTGATTTTGGTGAAAAATATTTTAAATCTGCAGCTACCACTTTCCCAGCAATATGCAGCACAGAAAAGATCCCCAGCTACGGAAAGGATTTCTGAAGGATGAGTGGGTGGGGGGAATCATAGTGAAAAAAAAAAAACAAAGGCTTCTGTGACCCAGGCCCAGGAAACTGCCAGTACTTGTTAACCATCTAAGCATAAGAAAAAAGGGGTCTCTGTCCCCCAAACAAACCCATCTTTGGCCCCCCTGGATGTCAAAACCCCCTCTCTGTTCAGGGGCACTCTGGGCTCAACCTCTCTGGGTAATCCCCTCCAGCCGAGCTGCTGCCCAGGAACAAAAGATCCCCGTCTAGACGCCGCCATAAAGCACCCCCTCCCACCCCCTGCCTCTAAACCCAGTTTCATTTCGCCCTTAACGACCCAGTCTGGCCTGTGTTAGAAAACGCTTCCGCCCTAAATAGTAAATAAACGTGCAGTGGACGGTCTTGGCACCCCCAACACTCCCCAGACCTCCACTCCATTACCCCCTTGCCCGGCATTTTCCCCTCTTCTCTAGCCTTTCTCAGCTCCCAGCTCTCCAGCCCCCCTACATTGCCCCCCCCCCAGTAAATAAACCCGAGGCCGAGTTCAAAGTTTCCCGGAGCTAAGGAGGAATGTTGGTTGTAAAAATCCAAGTTTATAGCGCACGTGGGAGTTTACAAGGGTATTAAGTGGTGTGGGCTGAGAGAGAGCATTCTGAGCCCCTCCCCCTCCCGCTATGAGCTTTGGGGGTGCAGGGGAAACCTGGAGGACTTGAAAAGAGAAATGGGTTGGGGCCAGCCTTGGGTTTGGGGTTTCTTTGTCACTCAGACCTCTAGGTTGCTGGGGAATGGCCATGCACGGGCTCCTTGGAAGATGGTTCACACAAGCTCACAAGAGAAAGCCCATGGGTGCTAGGTGTCCCAGATGGAGAGGATGGGGAGCTCTGCTTTGGGGGAGTAAGAAAGTTACAGGCCAGATGTCTGAAAGGTGAATAGAGTTGGGAATATCTGGAGCCAGTTCTCAACCTGAGGGGGAGAAACTACCAGGGGCTAATTTCCCAAGTGGGCTGAAGGCAGAGAGGGCTTTACTCACCAGAGCAAAGAACTTTGAACTTCAAGGGAGTCAAGGGCGCCACCCCTTCCTTCTTCCCGCCCCTTTTAAGAATCGGTTAGGCAATTCTTTCTGTGCTAACATTCTCTCGAAGGGGCAGCCCCTGGGGTTTCCTGGTGCCTCAGGGCTGATAATGCCGTTTTTTCCTGCCTCAGAGCTGCCAGAACCCTGTGCACGCGACTACACTCTTTATTATTCATATAAACCTTTGGAAAAGGCAACGCCCAGGAAGTTTTTATAACTTTGTTTGGTATAAAAGTTTTACAAGATTCCTCCTCCCTTTTTAAAAAACTTCAAGTTTTGGTTTTGCCGTGGAATAAAATTTCAGGATTATAGGGAGGTTAAGGAAAGAGAGGCTCTGGGATTCCCATGGTGGGTGATGTCTGGAGCTACCTTTCTCTGCCTAAGGCAAAACAAGGTTTAAATGTTGAGGTCAATTCTTCCTGAGGCCCATGTCAGACCCAGATTTGGGGGCTGCCAGCTGACAGAGGCTGCAGGTCTCCAGGAGAGTCCTGTTCACTCTCTGCTCTTTAGACACACCCTATGGACCCCCAAAGTTTAGACAATATTAGCAGGACCAGACCTCCCCCCACATCAAGCCCTCTTGTTCTCTTACAGACATCATTCTTTCTCTCTCTCTCTCTCTCTCTCTCTCTCTCTCCCCTTCTCTCCTCCCCCCACCCCCAACTCCTCCTCTCTCTCTCTCTCTCACACACACACACACACACACACACACACGCGAACGCACACACATGCCTACACACTCCCCAATCCATTGCATAAAGTAGAGACCCATAACCTTGACTCAGACCCTTGATTTGAGACTTGAGAGGGTCTCTGCACACTCACCCCTGCATCCCTGCCTCCTGCAAAGTCCACATTGGGTATGAAGAAAGATAGAATTCAAAACACCAAGAAATTCCTACCCAGAGGTAGCAGTGGTTGCAGGACCAAAGGAGGAGAGCCAGCGGTGGGTCTGTGGTCCTGGAGCTCAGAGAACAAAAGTACCCATGTGGGAACATGGCCTTGGGCTGCTAAGCCCCCGGGTGACCCTTGGATTTGCCACCCACCTGGAACTGACAGAACCTCACTCCTTGAGTTCCCATGACTCGAGCCTTGGGGAAATCAATTGAGCTCAAATTGGGGCTATTTTAATGTTCAGCTCTGGAGGTCAACACAAAGATAAAGCTAGGTCTGGTGGACCAGGCTCCTTTGGGGTGATAGAAATGAAGATACCTGAGCCCTGGAAGCCGGCATGGCAGGGAGCTACCGGAGTTAGCAGGGACGTGCCCCAGCACCCGCTACTCCTTCTCTAATGGCGACTCCTGAGGCCTGGCCCCTGGCTGCTCGCAGCTCTACACTTCGCCTTGCGAAGAGCCGAGTTAAGACCGAAGGCAGGAGAAGGTCAACTCCAAGCCTGAGCAGCGGCCTGGGAGGAATGAGACCTGGCCTGGTTCTTTCCCCTCACTGAGCACAGCACCACGGAGATAAACAAGAAAGTCTAGGAGAGAAAGTCAAGAGGAAGGAAAAGATTGAGGAGGAAAGAAAAGAGCAAAGAATAAATTGTATAATGAAGAAAGGAAGAAAGAAGGAAAGGGGGGAATGAGGAAGACAACGAATTAAGGACGAGAAAGCATCAGAGAAAGAGAAGGAAAAAACTAATTGCAGGCAAAAAGAGAAGGAAAGAAAAATAGAGAAAGGAGTAAATAAAGGGAAAAGAGGAGCACAAGAAAAAGAAAGAAGGAAAGAAAGACAAAGAAATAAAAAAAGGAAGAAAGAAAGAAGGAAAGAAAGAAAGGAAGAAAGAAAGAAAGAAAGAAAGAAAGAAAGAAAGAAAGAAAGAAAGAAAGAAAGAAAGAAAGAAAGAAAGAAAGAAAGAAAAAGAAAGGAAGGAAGAAAGAAAAAAGAAAGAGGAAAAAATAATGGAAAACAGAGAGATCTTGGAAAAGGAATTTAGCCGGTAAGAAAGGAGCGGGGTTTTCTCTGGAATAAGCTGGCCCAACCACAGCCCTGGTCCAGCTAGAAACCCGACCTACTGGGGCAACTTGGAAGCAAACCGTTAAAGTGGGGAGCAAGGCCTCCCCCAAAGACATTCTCCCATCCGTCTCCTCCGCCCAAACCTTCTCTCAGATGTGTTTGCTGTCTGGTTTCGATTCAGAAGGCAAAGTTAAATAACTGGCCGGCTTCCGCAAGGCAAGAAAGCAATCGTGCTGGCTCAGGTTATAAAACTTCGGGATGCGGGGATTGCAGGGAGCACATTTTGGGATAAAAACGAATATTTGTGGCTCCGTACACACAATTAAGCACAACTTAGACATGTGTGTAGATGGTAAACTCCAGAGCGTCTGGGTGCAAATGTGCATACAACGTCCAGATGTGAGAGCGACTCTGACGGTTAGGCTGCCGGAGTCGCCGCCGAGATCCTAGAAGACCAGAGGCCCCTGGAAACGTCCCCAGCCTCCTGCCTCCCTCTCCTACCTGTCTGAAAAGCCCAGCTCTTTTCTGGGCTTCTGAGAATTCTTCATTATGTCTGGGATTTCGCTGCTCCCAATTAAGTAGAGCAGAGCTCATGTTAGCGAAAGGAAAAACAAGTCTTTTCTTCAAGTTTTGGAAAAAAAGTGATTTACCTCGGCTTCCAAAGCGAGAGAAAAAGAACTGCAATTTTCGCCACTGGTGTGATTTTGTTTTCCATTTCGCTTGATGAGATTTCAATACACACACTTTATTCTTTTATTATTTTACTCCAAGGGGAGAGATACTCTTCCTTTTTCTCTTCACCTTTGGAATTGCCTCCAATGACTTCTCTAACCTCTTGGGGAAATTTCACTAAATTTCCTTGGAGAAGTCAGGGTGTTTCTGGGGGCACTTTGAGGGCCAGAGTCCAGAAAACAGCCGAGGTGCCTTTCTGTTTGTCGAACACTTCATTTTCCTTCTTCTGTTTTCACATGGGAACCCCAGTATCCCTGCCCTCGGCCTGCACCTCTGGAACCCGCTGACTGTCCTGGAGTATGCAAGGAGCACCTTCCTCCTTTCCCTAACTCACAGTCCCATGGGCAGCAGGCGGCCCAGGCCCCCATCTCCGCCGCCCCTCCAGGGTCTGGGTACCGGGAAGAAAGGCACAAGGGGCCAGGGCTCTTGGGGTGGGTGGGATTTGCCAAGATTTGGGCACAATCTGAGCCCCACTCTGCCTTGGAGCCCCCGGATTTTCACATCCCCAAGTTGAGGCAAGAAGGGGGAGCCCCAGAGTCAGGCATAGGCGCAGGTCTCTTGGCATTCCCAGAAAATTGGGGAAATGGCTTCACAGAGCGATTCTAACCCAGACTTCTCCTAAACCCCAATCCAGTTCCCAGGGGTGCAGGCCTGTGGGTTTTGGCCCTGTGAGGCTGGGCCGGTGGGTGTCTGGCAGTGGCAGCAGGCAGGATAGCTGTGGCAGCACGAGTGCCTTTGAACGCCAGGCCCGGACAATAGTACAGAAACAGCCTTTGCTTGTGGCCTCGGGAAAGACCGAGTCCAAGGGGGCAGGGCTGGGACACACATCTAACTGTACTTTCTGGACCGGCACAAATATTTCTCTTGCCTGTCCTTATCCTCACATCTTCCTCCCTTTTGCCCCCATTGGGGCAGAATCCCAAAGTCTGCAAAAACCAACAAGTCATTCAAGTCTGTGTCTGCTTCAGCTCTAGTTTAACGGCTTCGGGTTTGCGTTTATCAAGTGTAATTAAAGGCAAACATTTGTCCCACCGGGGGTCCCACTTAGGCTGATGAATTTGATTTCTTTTTTTCATTTATGGGCCCTGTTTATCATACTTCTAATTATTTCAACTTTAAATACTATTTTCTTGTGAGAAGGTGGGAGTCGAGGCAGGAGGTTCCTTCTCCCTCGGGGGGTTATTTCCATTAATAATGGCAAGGATTCTGAAGAATCTCATTCCACCCCACCCCCTGCCCCATGTCAGAGGTAAGGAAGGAGTTTGGGGTGGGGGTCGGGCTGGTAGTGGGAGACAGGTCCTAAGGCCAGTGACTCCACTCCTCTCCCTCTGGTTCCTCAGGTTAAGCCCAGGGGCTCACAGATTTTGAGAGGTAATCTGGAGTTTGTCTCTTTCACCCTTTCTCCTCCGCCTCCCTCGCCCCCTCCCAGGCTGGGTTCAGACCCTTCCTCTGTGAGGCTCTTTGTAACCTTTCTGCCGCTCCAGCCAGATCACAGCCTGGACTGGCAGAGGCTCGCGGTAGCGCTGTCCTGGCCCCCAGCTACTAACACGGAGAGAAAAAACAAGAAAGACTGAGGTGAACAAGCGGCACCTGGGCATGGGCAAGAGGGTCCAAGAGATCCAGGCAAGGGCAGAGGACTGGGATGCCAAATTCCAGGGGAAAGCACACCAGACAGGAAAATAAAGGAGATGAGAAAGAGGGGGGAGGGAACCCCCAAAGCCATATAATTCTCAATTGCTTTGGTCTTTAATTTCATCACCCCATAAATGAGGAAATATCAGTTCTCATACTAAATTTTTATTCCCGGCTGATAAATATGACGGGGAATTTTCGTTGGGTCCTCATAAAAGTGAACAGTTTCGATCAAACTGGTGGGGAAAGACTTATGCAGATAATACAAACAGAGTGGCCATAAAGTCTCTGTGGTTTCCCTTGGGGTGAGTGGTGGGACAAATGGTTCCCTGGATTGACTGCTGCCTGGGCTGTCCCAAGTCTCCTCTGGGGCCTAAACAGCCTAACCTTGCCCGGGCCAACCCCTGTGCCGAGCCCACTGCGACCCCTGCAAATGAAAACACAAAACCATTTCAAATCTCCCCTGGCTGGCCTTGCAAATAAGCCACACATTACAGATGTTCTTCCAGTTCTTCCCGGGTCCAGGGAACTCTGCGCCTTCTCTCTGGCCTCCTGGATAAGCGAATGCCCGGATTTCTTTCCGAAGTCTCCTTCTAGCAGCCGCGGGCTTGGGCCTCCCTATAAGCGATCCAGCCTTCTCACTCCTCCACGCAGTCAGGGTGCCGGGAGCTCCAGCCCTTTCCTTGCCAGGCTCCAGCCCTTCGGAAAGTCAGAAATCCGCGGCTTCTTCCAGGAGGAAATGTGGGGCGACCGGAAAAACAAGTTATTCTCCAGATTCCGTTTCCTAAGGAAGGCATGGAGAGTTTAGTTCGCTTTGAGAGAAAGGCGATGGAGAAACGGAAAGAACTATTTGAGACATACTTCGCTCCTTATTTCTCTTCTTTTTATTAAAAAATAACTACAAAAATAGACTCGTCCCTTTTCTCCTTTCAAAAATGCCCAGCTCATTCTCTCTGTAAAGGACAATTTTCTGGGTCGGATTTTGTCACCTCTGGTATCCCGGTTTCCTGTATGATACGCGACTCCCCCAAACTGGCTGAGGCCGGGATCGGTTCTCTTTTTCTCCCTGGGAATATTCCCTGTCTTAGTGGGGGCAAGGTCAGTTGGAAAGAGAGGACTGCTAGAGCCTGGAGCAAAGCAGAAGAAAGGATCCCAAGGCCAAAGTCTTCCTGCCGCTGAGATGGTAACCCAGGAGCCGCCCACCCAGCCAGGCCTAGGCTGCACTCCCTGATGCGGAACTAGTGCCTCTGGTCGCCGGCTTCCTCCTCCCCTGACCCCTAGATCCCGTCAGAACCTCCTTTCTCCGATTAGCCCTGAAGTGATAGTGACCTCCTCCTTAGTCCACACCATACACTGAAGATTCCCTGTCACCACCACGCCTGCAAAACATACACACACGTACACGTACACACACACACACACACACACACACACACACACACACACACACACGGAACTTGCAATTCAACCAACTTCCAAGACCCGCGATCCCTGAGCTAAGCTCTCAGGCCCAAGGGCCAAGCTTGATGAATTAGGACGCTGGAGAACACAAACTTTAGTCCCCTTTGGGATTCTTTAACTTTTTCTCCCTTTCCCTGACCATTTGGAGCCTCCCCACCCCCCAAACCTCGCCCCACTCCCGACCCAAGAGAAGAAGCAGGGGCGGGGGTGAAGGAGGGAAAAGGAGAAGTGAGGAGAGGGGAGTAAGTACCTGAATCGTGCCTTGACCTTTTAATTTGAATTTGACTGTTTTGAGCCCCGAGCTGCCTCGCTCTCTCCCTCTCTCCCGCATCTTCCCCCTTCGGCTCCCTCTCCCCAAGAGTTACAGTCTGGTTCCCGGGTAAACAAACCCCATTCTCCCTAGAACCCCCCATTCCCCTCCACCCCGCTCCTGCCCCTGCCGCCCCGGGGGCGCTTCCTTTGTTCGTGGGGAAGGGCTCCGGCGCCCCTACCCCGAGGCGGCTGCTAGGTGGCGCTGTTACTCCACGCTGCGCGTTCCGCCTGCCGACAACTTGACCCCGCTGACGTCACGGCCGTCTGAATCATCAAGGCCATTTTCAAATCCCATTGGTCTAGCCGTCACATGGTGAGGACTGAATGCGCGGATAATTATGGAGCTGATGATCCCCCCTCCCCTTCTTTTCCCTCCCTCTCTTCCAACCGCCCCCCCCCCGGATGGGGAAAAAAAAGATGTCAGCTTCTCCGCTGTAGTATTGCTTCTTAAAAACCCCTCTCTCTGAAAATGACATGCCCTCGCAATGTAACTCCGAACTCATACGCGGAGCCCTTGGCTGTGCCGGGCGGAGGAGAGCGCTATAGTCGGAGTGCAGGCATGTATATGCAATCTGGGAGTGACTTCAACTGCGGAGTGATGAGGGGCTGCGGGCTCGCGCCCTCGCTTTCCAAGAGGGACGAGGGTAGCAGCCCCAACCTCGCCCTCAACACCTACCCGTCCTACCTCTCCCAGCTGGACTCTTGGGGTGACCCCAAAGCCGCCTACCGTCTGGAACAACCTGTTGGCAGGCCTCTGTCCTCCTGCTCCTACCCACCTAGTGTCAAGGAGGAGAATGTCTGCTGCATGTACAGCGCAGAAAAGCGGGCGAAAAGTGGCCCCGAGGCAGGTCTCTACTCCCACCCCCTGCAAGAGTCCTGCCTCGGGGAGCACGAGGTGCCTGTGCCCAGCTATTACCGCGCCAGCCCGAGCTACTCCGCGCTGGACAAGCCGCCCCACTGTGCCGGGGCCAACGACTTCGAAGCCCCTTTTGAGCAGCGGGCCAGCCTCAACCCGCGCACAGAACATCTGGAGTCACCCGAGCTTGGGGTCAAAGTGAGTTTCCCTGAGACCCCCAAGTCAGACAGCCAGACCCCTAGCCCCAATGAGATCAAGACCGAGCAGAGCCTGGCGGGCCCAAAAGGCAGCCCCTTGGAGAGCGAGAAGGAGCGAGCCAAAACCGCGGACTCCAGCCCAGACACTTCGGATAACGAAGCGAAAGGTAAGGCCCCCTGGGCCGTGGCCCGGCTGGGACGCTCGGGAACTTAGTCTTTCTGGCCCGGGCAGGAAAAGGGAGAGGGTTGGGCCGAGAAGGCCCTGGACGGTCCTGGGAATGCGAACCCGGCTTGCGACTCGCGTCTGCTGAGCGCCAGGCTGGTGGCGCGTCATTTGGCTAGGGAAGGTAAGCGGCGAAGTGGAGGTGCCGGGCTGGCCGTGGGCGCTGAGACCCGGAGGTGTTGCGCACCCGGGGGGCGGCGGGGCCTGCAGGCGCCTTGTGCTGCCCAGGGCGGGTGACCGCTCTCGGATGCGTGCTGGCTTTGGCTTACTTGCTCTACGCTGTTGTCCTGGGGGGCTGATGTTCCCCCACCTCAGGTCAGATGCTTGCAAGAAACTTAAAATGGCGATCTTGGGCCAAGGGAAGGTTGGGGGAAAAGGAGATTTCGCTTTACTGCGTTTTCCCAGTTGAAAATTGTTTCCTGCGAAGCGCGATTTGTTCTTTGTGGATCTTATTTATGCGTGTGGTTTGGGCTCCTGCGGTTTCTGGCTTGGCCTGGGGGCCTCAGGCACCCGGGCTGGGGCCGGAAGAGGTGGAGGTAAAGGGCTGCCCGCCACGTCTCTCCCTCCCCCAGACGCCTAGCTTGGGCATAGCGTTGGAAAAGGGCATTTGGAATGTTGTAAGATTTTTGTCTCCTTTCTAAGTTTTTTTTCCCCCTTTTTACTAGTTAAATTTTTTTTTCGTTGGTTTCCAAAAGCAGCTTATAAATGAGTGGTTTGGAAATTTCTGTGTGCATGGCAAGCGGTTTTCTCCTGAAAGGGAATATGGCTTTAGCTGCATTTCATTTTGATTTTGGTTGGAGAAAGTCTAGCCAGAGTTCAAGCTCAGGGTTCAAGATTCATTTCTGCTGCGGGAACCAGGAGCCTTCAAGACCTTTCTCTGACACCTGGAGAAAGAATGTGGAGGAAATGAGAACAGCGAAGTGAGGCTGAGGGGGACTGACTTTCCCCAAAAAGTTGGAGCCAAAAGCATCAGAAAAGGCCCAACTAGGAGAAGAGAAATAAAGCTGTTCCCCTTGGCACTGGCTACTAGAGGCCGTATATAAGAGGGGCTCAATGGGTGTAGAGGTAGATGGGCTAGTGAGAACTGAGGGGTCTGGGGGCTGCCTCGATCTTATAGATGGATGCGGCGCACAGGCATGCCTGGCGGTGACCAGTGTCACACTCATACATACCCCTCTTTCATGCTCAGCGCATTCTCACGCATGCCCGCTCATAACATGCACATATACTCTTTTGGCGGGCAAGGGCAGAGCCTTACCCTCTTGGGTTTCCTCTGCAAAGGTGGCCTTAGCAAATCAGCTCATGGAGACCCTGGGCAGAAGATGAGGAGTGTTCATGAGGGTGAGGGGGAGAGTGAGGTACACACATCCATGAAACCTTCATTGTGGCACATGTGCAACATGAAAGTTTAATTTTACACCCTTTCCCCAGCCCCTGAGTTTGGTCAGGGTGCAGATTTAGGGTAGGAAAAGCTGCATTCTAGCCCCACCAAAGCAAAGTCAAGGTTAACAAGTCCACCTCCTAACTCAAACTGCCCCCATTTCTGTAGACTCCCCTTTCTCTCCTGCCCTTCCCACAACAACCGAAGCCCTCTTGCCCCAACTAATCCTTCTCAGTCTGTACTTTGTGCCTTTCTTGCCTCCCCCTCTTCCATTTTGGTGTCTCCACCAAGCCAAAGGCTAAAGGGCTTTCAGCCAGACTTCCCCATTTGTAATTTCTCCCCTCCCCCCAAGCCCAACAACACCAATAAGAAAATAAACAGGACAGAGTTAGATGTGGAGAGCCTTTAAACAATTTGTCAAGAGGCTGCAGGTGGCAGAGGTGGGAGCAGAATTAAGGACATTTGGATGTTTTAAACTACAGTCTCAAGTTTGCATTTTTTTTCTGGTGTTTCCTGGTTCCCCTAGGGTCCCCACCCCACTCCCCATCAAGATAAGATCCAGGAACCTGGCGGTTTCATTTGTCATGGGTGGAGATAGCACAAAGAGCCACCGGCAGAGTCCTTTGCTGGATGCCGCTCTCCAGTCTCTGGACTCTGGGTTTTTCCCTAGAAAAGATGGCCAAGGTCTCTTCTGCTGCTTAAGGAGTAAGGCCAGTTCATTTCAGCAAGAATGTGGTCCAGGGAGAGAAGCTATCAATAAGATAATGAGAAATACACACTAAATTATAGTATCTCCTTATATAAATAGACACATGTGTGCATATCTATATGTGCGTGCATCTCTGCAGGAATACATGCATACATGCAGACATAAATATCTACCTAGACTAGGCAGAAGATCTGCAAGAGGCTGCATTGCCTCAGGCTACCTCTCTCCCTTGACCTTAGGTCCTATGTCCAGGGCAGTTGTCTGAGAACCACTCAGCTGTTGCCCCTGACCTCTGTTGCCTGTACAAACTCTCTTGCCTCAGCTACTCACAGCTGAGGGGAATGGCCAAGAGAGAAAGAACTAGTGATGGGAAATTGAATGGGGAAGTGTCACTCTGTGGCACTTCAGGTGGGAGCAAGGGCTGGAGGTCGGGTGCAGGGACAACTGCAATGGCTTCTGGCTGCAGAGACGGAGATGACATACCTCCATTGAGTTGAAAGAGGTCAAAGCTCTCTGGGAATTGCCCTAGCCAACCGGGTAGACTCCGCAGCCTGGCCTGGGGCCTGGAGACTGCTTTTCCTTCTGGTTGGAGTTTTCCAAAGCTGGAAAGGAACAGAGAGGAGGGAGGGCCTGGTGAGGTTTCGAGCGCCCAGCAAGCTGAGGGAGAGCGGGAGTACTCAGAATCTGCTAGATCAAGGTGGATTGGGGTAATTTAAATCTAATAAATGCTTTAGAGGCAAGGACCTTCTGTCCCTCTCTCATGTAAGTCTAGACTCCAAAGATATTTTAAGAGCCATGAGCCCAAGAGGACCCTACCAGCCACGCCTGTGGGGCGAGAGCCAGCTCCTCTGTGCTCCTTCAGCCACCCCACAGCAGGCTGGCAAAGGCTGCAGCGTGCTGGAGGGTTTGCCTCTTCAGGGATACTTATGTAAATAATGTTATTTTTAACAGAGGAGATAAAGGCAGAAAACACCACAGGAAATTGGCTGACAGCAAAGAGCGGAAGGAAGAAGAGGTGCCCCTATACTAAACACCAGACGCTGGAATTGGAGAAAGAATTTCTGTTCAATATGTATTTGACGCGAGAGCGCCGCCTGGAGATTAGCAAGACCATTAACCTTACAGACAGACAAGTCAAAATCTGGTTTCAAAATCGCAGAATGAAACTCAAGAAAATGAACCGAGAGAATCGGATCCGGGAACTGACCTCCAATTTTAATTTCACCTGAGCGCTCGGCCTCCCCTCCCCTCCCGTCTCTCCCCACTCCTTCCTTTCCCTGCCCCTCCTCCCTTTGTGGTGGTGTGTA